ATATCTATGTAAATATTTGATGAAAATGTAATTTATTTATATATTATAACGTTAAATATAAAATAGCATTAACATTGATAATATTTAATATTTATTTAATAAAAATATTACAATATATATTTAATATTTAATTTTTATGTACCTATAAATATATAATAGTATTTATTTAAACAAATAATGTATTTATTATTTTAGTTTAAATGTTAATTTTATTTGTAATAAAATTTTGTAATATATACAAATAAGCATAAAAAACATAATGATTGGGGTGCCCCTTACAACTAGGGGTGGACAAACACCCGATAACCGACCCAACCCACACCAACCGATTGTAATAAAAGGAATTGGGTTGGATGTATTCGGTTTTTCGGTTTTGCGGGTCATTTGAACAGGTTTCATAAGGGTTCAGTTGGGCGGGTCCGGTTCAACATATTGAAACCGTGGGTACCCATACCCGTCTGGCAGTAAGGATATACTTTTAATTTCTAAACGGTAAAGTTACTTTTGCATTCTCAAATAACATAAAACACACCATTTCATTTCAATTGTAAACCACAACAACCCTAACATTTCCAGAGTTGTGTTCTCTCTCTTCTAATCATGTCATGAACCCTAAATACGAACATCCACTTCCATTCGCCGCCGTAGATCCCCTTCTATTTTGAGCAGTTCTAGAATGGGGATTTTGTTCATGATGATTCATTCTTCAATCACGGGCATGTACCATTTTATTTGTAGTTTTTAGTGTTTTTTATTTTCGTTTTGAATCAAGCATTTGTTCATTTCCATTTTCGTTTTGAATCGTGCATTTTTCCTTAACAAACTTCATCTATTGTCATTATTTCTATGTTTTGAAGAAAATAGGATTAGGGTTTAGAACTTTAATGTTAGGTTTTATTTCTTGTTCTATTTTCTCTTTTCTATTGTTTTAATGATGGATATAATGTTTTAAATTGCAGATATTTTCCATTCCAAAAGCATTTTATAGAGGGGTAACCGATTTTATATCGTTATCTTGTTGAAAAGTATGTTCTACTTTGTTCCTCATTGTTTCTCTTTTGAAGTTCTAACTCACATCTTTGTCTCATATGTTTCGTCGGTCTCTTTCATTTCTCTTCTAACTCATATCTTTTCAGTTTCTTATGAGGGTTTGAAGACTTTTAGAAGTTTGACTCGAAAGTGACATCGAAGGTTTGAAGACTTTTTTAGCTAAAGGATTGAACACTTTCTTTGGATTGTTTTATTTTATATGATTTTGTGACTTGTGTTTTCTATTTGTTTCTTACCAAAGATGTGATCTTTTTTATGATAGGGATATCTAAAGGTTTGAATGGAAATTTGAGTCGAAGTTGACATCTTTTTGGTGATAGGGAGAGGTAAAGGTTTGAAGACTTTTTTGGATTGTTTTTGTTTTGTATTGTTTTCTCTCTTCTATTTGTTTTACAGTACACAATTTTATCTATTTTGTTGCCTCTATAACTTAATGAATTTAACTAGTTTGTGTTTTACAATACACAATTTCTTTAACCAAGTGGAATGGACCAAGGTCAAAGTGGAATGGACCAAGGTCAAAGTGGAATGGATCATGGTAATTTCTTTACAGTACACAGTATGTTCTAGTATGATTTTAAGTGTATGCAATGTGTTTATAAATATGATTTTGATCATAGTTTTTAAGTGAATTGGAATGTTGATTGGTAGTTTTTGATAATGGCTCCTTCGTTATTTCAGTGACTGGTGAGCCTAATCAAAATCCACCAGTTAATGAAGTAGGTTCAACTACACAGCCTACAAAAAAGAGGAAATCTAGTGCAAGTGGTTCTAGGCAATCATCTGCTTGCTGGGAACACTTTGTTAGATTACTTGATGACCTTGTTGATGCATCCACTGCAGCCTGCAAACACTGCCATAAAAAATACTTGTGTGACCCTAGGACTCACGACACCACCAACCTGAACCACCATATATTAAAATGTCCTAAGAAGCCCCTTGTTGTGTCAACTGACCTCACACAAACTATTCTAACATACCCAAGTGTAGATGGTAACTTGGTTCAAGTTAGCTCTAGGTTTGACAAGAAAGCTTGTAGAAGTTCGTTGTTTGTTTTTGTAGTTCTAGATGAGCATCCATTTAGTGCAGTAGAGGGTGAAGGGTTTAAATTTTATTCCAAAGTAATGCAACCCCAATTTACCATCCCATCTAGGCGTACGGTAGCTAGGGACTGTTTTCAGCTACACTTGGATGAAAAACAAAAGTTAAAGGCCTTTTTTAAGTCTGACTGCAATAGGGTAACACTTACTACTGATTGTTGGACTTCTATACAAAATCTCAATTACTTGACCCTTACGGCACACTTTGTGGATAACGATTGGAAGTATAAAAAAAGACTTATAATCTTCGCCATAATTCCAAACCACAAGGGTGAAACTGTTGGTAGGAAGATTGAAGAAGTGTTAAGGGATTGGGGTATCAGAAATGTGTCAACTATAACTATTGATAATGCCACTTCCAATGATGTTGTTGTGACATACCTAAAGAAAAAGGTTGCAAATATGAATGGGTTGATGGGGGATGGAGAGTGTTTTCATATGAGGTGTTCTGCTCACATTTTGAACTTGGTGGTAAATGAGGGTTTGAAAGATAAACATTTATCTGTTACTAGTGTTAGGGATGTTGTTAGATTTGTTAAGTCCTCACCTCATAGGGCAGCTAAGTTTAAAGAATGCATTGAATTTGCTGGGATAACTTGCAAAACATTAGTATGTCTTGATGTTTCAACTCGTTGAAACGTGACATATTTAATGCTAAAGGCTGCAGAGAAGTTTCAACTCGCTTTTGAAAAGCTTGAGGATGAAGAGTCGAGTTATAGGGAGTTCTTTGGAAAAGGTAACCCCCCTAGTAGTGATGATTGGAACACTGCTAGGGATTTTGGTGCTTTTCTATATTTATTCTACGAAACTAATATTTTTTCCACCTCTCAAAGTGTGACTCTGCATACTTGTTTTCACCAAGTGTCTGCCATTTATTGTAAGTTGAAACAAGCTACAATGAACTTAAATGATGTTTTTGCAAGTGTAGGTGGGGATATGATGGAAAAGTATAATAGATATTGGGGGAATGCTAATAAGATGAACAAGATGATATATTTTGGTATTATTCTTGATCCAAGATACGAGTTGAGTTACATTGAGTGGACGTTTAAGGACATGTACGAAGTTGGATCGAAGTTTGGTAGTGACTTGGTAAAATCTATAAAATAGGATTTACAAAAGTTGTATGATTGGTATAAGCAAGCTTATGACCAAAAACATAATTCCACACACCCTTTTGGTAGTGGTGGAAATAATGTCTCCAATGACGAAACAACTGTAGTGCTGCCCGTTCATCCATTATGGCTAGAGCTGATGCTTTTGAGCAACATTTAGAGAAACAAAACTCGATTGATCAACAAAATGAGCTTGAGGGGTATAATTCTAGTAAGTGTGTTAAAAGGGATCCTAACTTTGACATTCTTGTGTGGTGGAAACGCATACTACATCACTGCGCCATCGAGGTAAGGGACATCTTACAGTTATAGTTATGATAATCCAATGTATATAAATAGCATTCATCTCTATGATGTGATATATCTTCTTTTTTTTTTTTGTAGTTTTGCTGATATAGCAACCAATCCCTTCCATGCAGTGTTTTATCCTGGGTTTATGCTGTCAGCATGTGGATTATTCTCTAAAATACTCACTGGTTATAAACCAATAATCGGTCCAGACTCATTTTTCAGAGGTTTTGCTCGAATTATACTCACTGGTTATTAATTTTTTCTTATTATTGCTTATATGTTTATGGATTACAAACCTGCTGAAATGAATTGAACCAACCTCTTGATTGAGTTGGTTACTGTTTGGATGTGATGAAATGAATTTTATAATACATGAGGAAAATCAAACCTAATATTTTGTAATGATTTGGAAAAGGTAAGCATAATTTTCTTTAACTTTGGTTTTTTTGGAACGAAAGTTTTCTATGTGCTGAGAAATCTATGATTAGAAAATATGCACCTTTTAGAATGAAAAATAAGTAAAAAGAAGGTGATGTGAGAGGTAGATTCATGGGGTCTTGACTTTTAACCAAATAAATCAACTTTTCATATGCTATTTTTACTTGTATTTCATTTTGGATTGAGTAATTTATATGGATAGTAATGTGTTCTTGTCTAAGTAAAACAAGTTAAAAGAACAATTTTGGAAGATGAGAGTGTGATCTAGAGGATACATTCAGTTTTTAGGGGGTTTGGAGCACATTTGGTCTCTTTTGCAGACACAAGTTGCAGAATACATGGAGAAGCTCTGTGGGGTTGTTCTCAAATACATTACAGTTTAGTGCATATAGTATGTTTTGGTTTTTTACTAGTTGTGTAAAACTGTGTTGTTGATAATTGTATCAGGATATACTATCTATAACACTAGAGAACTGAGTTCTCACAGGCATGCTGCAGATTTCTTCATTGTGGTATCATAATTCATAGCAAATGAATTGTAAATTTTGAATACTAGTATGACTAATGTATATTTAGTTGGAAAGCTGGTAATTAAGAGTTTGCTTTGTTTTTGAGTAATTTCAATTTGTCTCCTTCATGACTTAACTGTTCCAAGAACATGCTTAATGAATGATCAATTTTACTCTGGCCTTAGACGGGCTTACATAAACAAATTAGAGATAATGTAAAATTTACTCAGTTAATATTATTTTAATTTGGTACTTATAGTAGTAACTTGAGTGTGGTTTCCCTAGACGAAGACCAAATTGCTGCAAATCTTGTAAAGAATGGCCCTCTTGCAGGTAACTAATTGTTCTTCACAAAAGAATTTTAGATATATCATGTATTTGTTTGATCATCTTTTCTTCTTCTTCAAGATACAGATTCAAAGGCATATTTTGTAGAAATACTGACTTATACTCTATTTGGTACAGTTGCTATTAATGCAGCCTAGATGCAGACATACATGAGTGGCGTCTCATGCCCATACGTTTGTGCCAAAGCGCGTCTAAATCATGGTGTTCTTCTAGTTGGTTTTGGAAAAGGTGCTTATGCTCCCATTCGATTGAAGGAAAAGTCTTACTGGATCATTAAGAACTCTTGGGGGCAGAATTGGGGAGAGCAAGGATACTACAAGATTTGCAGAGGTAGAAATGTATGTGGAGTGGGTTCAATGGTTTCAACTGTAGCTGCAGCTCAATCCAACCATTAAAAAAAATACAGGGATGTTGATTCTAATGCTGTTACAACTAATAGAATCAGGATATCATGTAGATGCTGTTACAACTAATAGAAAGCAGGATATCATGTAGATGATGTTACAACTAATAGAAAGATTATGTATTTAATCATTATGTATTAAATTAGGATGTATTTAATTGGTATTTATTAAGTCTATTTAAATATTTTTGAGCCTAAATATTGGATAAGTCAATTAACCCGAAATACCCGTCCGCATTAACCCGAACCCGTCTAAATCTAACCCGTCTAAACCGACTCTCGAATCGGGCGAAAATGAGTATGTTATTACTACCCGCGGTTTGGATTGGATGGAAGTTTTGGGCCCGAACCCGCCCAACCCGACCTGTTGTCCAGCCCTACTTACAACCATAAAATAGAAGAACCAAGAACCAAAAAAGTATGGACATAAATAAAAAGAGTCTATATTTCCATATATTAGTTGGACCACAGGGGACCTAATTTACGTGATTCCACTTGCCTTACCATCCTCTACTGATTGGCTCTATTGATTGGAAGTAGTTGGAACTAAAAGTCCTATTATCATTGACCTTTTTTCAATGATCTATCAAACTTGGGAGAAAAAAATCAAACAGAAGTGTAGTCACATTTAAAAACTCAGGCCCCTATTGTGTTAGCTAGCTGTAACAAAAATACGAGATTGGCCTTTTAGTTGACAAAAAAAAGTAAATTTAGATTGGATAAAAATCATATAGATTTCTATATTAATTTTAATTTTTATGGAAATGTAAAATACTTAACTAAAAGAGTTAACAGTTTATTTTTGATTTAATTACCACCAATATATTAACTATATCATACATGAATGTATGCAATTGATGATTATAGTGAATCAAAATTCCAAAAACATCATATTTTTATTTTAGTAATTTTTTTCTAAATTCTAAAAGTTTTTTTTTTAGTAAGAAGAAAGAAGATAAAAGAGAAAAAGGTAAGATGAGATCATATAAACAATGTAATAAATACAATTTATTATAAATAAGGAATGAGATTATTGGAAGATAAATATTCAATTATTCATAATACTCCTTTTTGGATGTTTGTTTTGGATATATCTCGTTAAAATCTTACTAAAAAAAATTCACAGGAAAAAATATAGTTAAGGGAAAAAAATACAATATCATTTTAAGATAAATTCATTTCTCTTCCTCAGCTGAATGATCATTTCTTCGACGATGAAGACCAATATTTTGTGCTAGTTAATTAAAAATTCTATTTGGGAGTGACTTTATATAAAATGCAAGGTTATCATTTGAACGAATTTGTTTGATGTTTATATTATCACTCTTCTGGAGATCGTGAGTGAAAAAGAACTTTGGAGATATGTGTTTTGTTCCGTCTCCTTTAATGTAACCATCTTTCAATTTAGCAATACATGTAATATTATCTTCATATATGAACGTTGTATTTTTTTTCCATAAAAAAAAACCACAAATATTTTGTATGTGTTGGATTAAGGATCTCAACCAAAACCTTTTTCGACTTTCCTCACTTAGTGGTAAAAGTTATGCATGATTAGATGAAGTTGTTGCTATTGTTAGTTTCACCGATATCCATGAAATAGTTGTACCACCACATGTAAACAAATAACCTGATTGTAATCTACCATAATAAGGATCTGAGAAGTAACCTGCATCTGCATAACCTATTAATTTGAATTTGGATACTTTGGTATAAAACAAACCCATAGAGAGATTTGTTCAATTTAATGGAGTAGTTTTCTCGAGATAAAAAATTATGTGCCTCTGGTATATTGAGTCCTTCGATGAGTTTCATGTAAATGTCACTATCAAGTCAACCATACAAATAACCTGTTACAACATCCATCATGTGAAAATTAAGCCCTTCATGTGCTATAAGGCTAATTAAATATAAAAAGTGATTTCATCCATTACGGGTGAATAAGTCTCATCAAAATCAATTTCAGGTCTTTGCGAAAATCCGTGAGCGACAAGTCGAGCTTTGTATCTCACAATTTCATTATTTTCATTTCTTTTTCGCATGAAAACTCATTTGTATCCAGCTGGCTTCACACCTTGAGGCGTTTGAACAACATGTCCAAAAACTTGTCTCTTGTGAAGTGAGTTTAATTCTGGTTCAATTTCATTTTCTATTTTGGCTAATCCTCACTTTGTCTACAACTTTTAATAGACGCCGTCTCATGATCTTCTTTGTCATTTATCACATTTAACGCTATATTGAATGAAATAATATCATCAATGTCAACTTCATGTTGGTTCTATTGTATTTCATTATGGACATAATTTATCGAGATCTCTTTATTTTCATGAGTTTCAGGCACCTGATTAATCTCTTCTCAAGATAAAAAAATTTATCATGTCTGAAGATTCTTTTAGAGTTTCCATATCCTCACTTGGGCCATCTTTATTCTTAGCTCCTTTTCTTGTTCGTGGATATTTATCTTTGATATTGATTGGTCTGCCATGCTTCATTCGTGGTTGAGACTCATTAGATTGTCCAATAGAGATATCCATTTTTATTAGAGCATTTGTAGCTGGTATATATGATTTAGTCACACTTTTTGGATCAGTGAATACATCTGATAATTGATTTGCTAAGTTTTGCAAGTGAATTATCTTTTGAACTTTTAGTTCACATTGTTTTGTTCAAGGATCAAGATGAGATAATGATAATTCATTCCAACTAATCTTTTTTTACAGCTTCTTATTCTGTCCCCCTAATCTTGGAAAATTTGATTCAACAAAATGACAATCGGGGAAATGAGCAGTGAATAAACATACTATTGTTAGTTCAAGGTACTTTAAAATAGATGGAGATTCATATCCAACATATATTCTCATCCTCCTTCGAGGACCCATCTTAGTGCGTTGTGGTAGAGAAATTGGAACATATACGCATATCCAAAAATTCTTAGATCAGAAATATTAGGTTTTTACCAAAAACTAATTGTAACGGAGGAAAAGCACGATAACTCGTTGGCCTGATGCGAATCAATGTTACAACATGCGGAATTGCATGCCCCCGAGAAGAAATTGGGAGTTTGCATCTCATAATAAGTGGTTTTGTAACGAATCATTTATACATTTAATAAATGATTCAGCAAGTCCATTTTATGTATGAACATATTCAATTGGATGTTCAATGTCAATTCCAATATACATACAATACTCATTAAATACATGAGATGAAAATTCTGCAGCATTATCAAGACGTATTTTCTTGTCAAAATAGTCGGGGAAATGAGCTCTTATTTGAATTAGTTGATCTAACAATCTCGTAAATGCCTTGTTGTGAGTTGACAATAAACAAACATGTGACCATCTGGTTTATGCATCAACTAAGGCCATAAAATATTTAAATGGTCAACATGATAGGTGTATTGACCCACAAATATCATCATGTATACGCTCTAAAAAATTGATAAACTCATTTCTAATTTTCGTTAGTCAAATTATCAACTTCCCTTGTGAGCAAGAGCTGCATGAGAACTTATTTGAAGAATAATTTCTTGGCTCTTTAATTTATGACCATATGAATCTTTAATTATTTTTCACATCATTATATAATCAAGATGACTCACTCAGTCATGCCAAATTACAAATTTATTATTATTTTTAAAATTATGGTTTACAATGACATGTGCTTCAATTGTACTGATATAAGTGAAGTACAAGTTTGAGGAAATAGCCGATAGCTTTTTCATTACATGTTTTCTCTCCAAATTTTGTTGTGTAATGCAAATATATTTAACACCTTTAGCATCTTTTGTTTCAATATGGTATCCATTTAGGAGAATATCTTTGAAACTTAAAAAATTTCTATTAGATTTAGAGAAATACAATGCGTTCTCAATGTGTAATATTGTTCATCCGCAATAACAATACACTGGCTCTTCCAGAACCTTAAATTATTTTTGAGGTGCCAGATATAGTGCTAACATCAATTTTCGCTTCATTAAATAAGAGAAAAAAATTTATAGTTGAAAATTGTATGAGTAATTGCACTATCAATAAGACAAATATCTTCATTAATGACACAAGTGTCTGTCATTCAGTCTAAAAAATTGTAATAAAGAGTTATAAGTACACTTTAAACATACAAATTCTTTAAGCAATAAATAATGCAAATAAACAGGCAGCAAACACAATTTTATTATCATTGAAAATTAATATTCAAAAACATTGGAATTTAAAAAAATCACATTGAAAATTAAAATTAAAAAATATTTATAAAATTTATAATAATAACTAAAATAAATAGAAAAATTCTATGACTTTCATTTCTTGACACTTCCATCTCCAATAAAGTGACCAATTTTTTCATCTAGATCAGCAAAGAAATCACCAATCTCTAAGTGAGTAACATTCACATTAAATAACCAATTAAACCCGTTAGATTAGTGAAAATCGAGGGTTAAGATTTGAAGTAAGTCTTTAAAATTACTCTTGGAGTAAAAAGATCTCTCATTATATATATATATATATATATATATATATATATATATATATATATATATATATATATATATATATATATATATATATATATATATATATAATTTATCATGTAGCAAAACAAGAGATTATGTAAAGAACACAAACCTTTAACCAATACTATTTTCTACCCTTTCAATTCATCATAAAGACTATTTTCAGACTCCTTTAAGTTTTTCTTTTTTCAATCATAATATTTTCATTATCAATATTTGTGATTCACAACCTAATATCTAAGATATACAGTGTTGGTAGTGTTTTGAACGTTAAATACTCAATATATGAATGACAAAAATTCATTTATGAGTAAAACTGTGAGACTTTTTTCCTCGGTTATTCACAAACACCCGAGGTAACAAGTTATTTCTATTTTAAATAAAAAATAATACAATAATACATTCCCCTTGATTTTCAGCCTACTTGAAGTAATATATTACTTCTATTGCAGACCAAAAAAAAAAGTGGTGAATTATAACGA